CGTCACCATCACCATCACCATCACCATCCTCCTCTCTATGCGTCCTCCCTCTCCTCCACTTCTCCGATCCGCCGCCCCCTATGGCTTGCCACAGGAGTGCCCGCTGAACTTCAGAAAGCTATTGGTTTTAAGTCCCCCTACGGGGGGATTTTCGACGAAACAAAAGTACAAACAAATAGTCCAAAATGGTCAGCTGATTTCCCCAGCGCTTCCCAGCGCCAGGAGGCGCTCACGCATCGAGGAATGGGCCTGGCGGCGGGGCCGAAACCAGCTGCACGATGCAGACTTCGCGCCTCCCCCCTTTCCTTATCCCCCCTTTCGTTCGGCCCGACACTAGAGATAACGCGGAATTCTGCCCATCCCGTCCAAGATCCTCGCAGCTGCCTTGCACCTTCGTCTTTCCAATCGTTGGTCATGTCCACCATCTCACCACGGACCTGATATAGTACACGCGTCCGTCTCTCATTGCTTCGTCTTCTGGGGTCACTCCCCACTGTCTCCTGGCACGTGCATTGTGGTCATGGGTGCACGGTGTCGTCGATTGGATCACCCGTCGTTGGACCCCTTCCCCGGCGCCCATGAATGGGCCCTCCCTGTCCGTCTCTCGCCCGGCGAAGTCGGCCTCCATCGTCAGTTGGGCTGCCTCTGACCTTGCCTGAATGTTTGGATCGTCGCGTCCTCTGGAATCCTTCTCGACATTATGGGCTTTGCTGCACGTGCGCGGCATCTCCCCGAATTCTGGCTTCGCAACCATCGCGCCCGGGCGGCGGCCCGATTAGCGACGCACTCCGACTTCTGCACAACCCCCCCCCCCCGGGCCATTAACGGCACGGCGTTAACAGGCGAGTCTCCGCTAGGCACCGCCGTGGGCAGTATCGCCCTGGCTTCTCCGCCCGCCCCAGGTGCGCTGGGGCCAGGTTGGGAAGGCAACCCTCCCACAGTGGCAATTTCCACTCAACCCCACCACTCCCCCATACTTCCTTTTTTGTTCCCCGAGGGCCGAGACCTATGGGTTACCAGCTACCTGGGGGCAGCTGCTGCACGTGCAGCAGCTTCTCTCTCCTGGACTCGTCCACGGAGAGACTGCATGCCAGCCGTCTGCGCGAGTCCATCCAGCTGCAAGGTGCGCTGGCCTGTCTCGGGCGTTGGCTGGAGGCTGATCGCATACTGCATGTACCCCACTTCTCGCCTCGACGTTTGCGAGACTTGCGCCTTGCGCGCTGGTGTCGCTCGCGTGTGGGTGGGTGCAGGCTCGCATATATGCGCTTCAAAGCATTTGAAGCGCCAGCAAGTCGTTGTTGTTGGCGCTCCTGAAACAGCAAAACAACATCGCTGCGTGGTATAAGCGCCACACGTCCTACAAACATAAAACACCGTTTCACGTCGACGACTCCTACGGCGGTCGTCATCGGTATCTTGGCGAATGACGATCGTATGGGCCAAAATGTGGCCCATGTTAAAACTGGAAACGCCTTTCCAAGTTTTACCCGGTCCAGGGCATGCAAGCAATGGGCGGTTGTCTATAGCACTACTTAACTCTAAACACCTGATGCACCTAGCTCTGCCACTTTCAAACTTCTCCCAACTGTGCCAGCCTCCACACTTCAGGACACGGGCCCGAGGTCCAGGGGGAAGGCGCTCGAATTTCCCGAGCGAAAAGAAAACGTTGGCCAACACGCGGGCCGCAAACAACAGTTTGTCCCAGGGGGGGGGGCCTAAGCACGTCCGATGTTTGGGGGGAGGGCGACGGGCGCAGGGAGATGGAATGCGTGGCGAGGGTGTGAGCGTTCCAGTTCCCCACGGCAACTCGCTGTTCGGCTGCTGGAAGAGCACCAATCAGACTGCGAGCCCGATGCACAGGTGCATGACACACCTCAGCCACATGATCCCGCTCTTTCGCGTAAGAATGAGCCTCGTCGCATAACTGCGCAACGACGACGGCGATCGACCTGATGTTGAGGCAACGCTTTACAACATTTCACCACTGTCATGCAATCGCTGCAGCGGGTGCCCGAGCGTTCGACGGAGAACGGGATCAGCGCCATGGCCTGGTGTTCCGAGGACTGCGGGGCCTGGGGCAGGCAGTCCCAGGCCGCGCCTACCGCGCAGGCCAACATTTCCCCATCAGGTCCTAGAAAAAACAATACTAGGAAGCTCGGGAGAATTCGCGGGTCGAGTACCACGCACGCGATCCGTCCACGCAGATATCACAACCACTCAAATCGATACGTCCCCACTCTAACACTTCTCGTTGGGGGCTAAACAGTTTCGGGCTGGGGTCACTGCTAGGGGGGGGGGATAATTGTTTCGGGGTGATCCATGTCAAGTCATCCCAAAAGCTCCTGCAATCACTGTCAGCTGCTTCCAGCAGCCACAAGCCGCTGTCACCTGCTGCGCCAGCACGAGCTTCTACTGCCGCAGGGGCTTGACACTGCCACGCGCGGTGCCTGACCGAGTCGGGCTGTCCGCAGAGTGGACAAAGACCGTCGCAAGCGTAAACTCGCGAGGTTTGATGGCCCCGAGCGCCGATGATCTCCTCCTCGCTTGTTTCGTGCACGCCCATAAAAATCCCGTTCTCTCATCCTGCGTCGAGGTCGTTGCATTACTTTCCTTTTGGGGGGGTCCGATTCATGACGAACTCCCCAAGCTCAGTCAACTTCAACATGAATCTACGCCCTCGAAGCCTTTCATCAGCCGTCTTTCTGTCGGCGCCAATAATAAACTGGTCGTCGAGGGAAGATGCGCAGCCCGTCAATGACGGCACGAGCGCGAACTCTCCCCAAAAACACTCTTTAACATCCGGATTTGTCATTTAATACTGTTTATCGCGATTTCGACTTCACCGTTTGCTTGAGAATCTCCGACAAGGCCAACCTCCACTCCTGAGTCTAGGTCGTACGAAGCTCCGACAGACACCTCCCGCGACTGATGACTCAACCTCGCTTTTGAGGACTAGTCTGTTGCGACTGGCGAGCATAATCACGCCCCAAGCTACCCTGGCCCAATGAGGCCCCATTCTTTTCTCGAGTGAAACGCGGCCCCAATTTAACTTGGCACTCGGCAGCGCAAAACTACGGTGGGATTTCCTGTTCCTCTCACCTCACTATCACCCTCGCTACCATTTCAGCACATCTCGTCTATTGAGATCACAAGCCTTGCCTCCGCAGTTCCAACCTCCGTTTGCGCGCCCCCCTCATTGCATTCCCTCTAACGCGAAGGGGGCGCCAACTCCGGCATGGTAGATGACTTCCGTTGCGCAGCTCGATGTCTTCTTTCCTCGGCCCAAGTCGAATTCGAATTCGATTCTCTCAGGCGCCTCAGCCCCGCCCCCACACAAGCAAGTCCTCGGCACCACTCAGCTCACAGCGCCCATCCTCACCCTCTCTGTCGCCCTCTGAAGTCAGGACGACTGGACTCTCTGATTGGCGCTCGCGGACTTTGGCCGGACTCCGCAGAGCAGGTCCGCCATGAGAGCTCCCTGCCTGGGAGAACGGCTGCGCCCTGCCGAGCACGATCCTGAAGGGGCCCCAGGACACACAAATAAATACACACAGATAAAAAGATGCCCCATATGTTCCCAATGTTGTTGGGTGTTTGTTTGTCCCTATAGTTCCCCATATCTTCCGGGGAATCGACGATTCATTTTGTGCTTGTGTGTCTTTCTCCCCTTCTGAGACCCAGCGGCGCCCGAAATCCTCCCCCACGGCCGCCCGAGAAACTAGGGCGGCGAGATCTATACATATCCACTGCTCCCTGGCCAGGCCCAGCCTGAACCCAGCAGCGGTGCATACGCCACGCCCTCCTGGCTTGGCCAGGAGGGCGTATACACAGCTCGTGAGCTCAGGATGGGCCTGGCCGGGGAGCAGTGGATATGTATAGACCTCGCCGCCCGAGCAACCGAGCGATATCCCCGACGTTGGGGCAGCCACCCCCCCCCCTTTGCTGCCAGGGCGCCGGGCCGTGCGCCCGTCGCGCGTGGGAGAGAGCCGGGGGCGCCCCAGGGAGCTCCTTGGCACGCGCCGCCCGCCGGCGCCGCCCGCCCTCCCCGCCCACGCCCCCACGGCAGCTTCGACCCGCGCGGCCCTCCTGCTTCCCTCCTTCCTCCTCCTCCCTCCTCCCTCTCCCCCCCTCCCTCTCTCTCCCTCTCTCTCGCTCTCTCTCTCTCTCTCTCTCTTCCCGACTCCACCCGCTCCCCTGCCTACCCCCCCTTGCCACGCCCCCCCCGAGACGAGGAGCGGGGGGCGGGGGAGAGGCCTCCCTCCTTCTGCCTCCTTCACCCTCCCCCGTTTCTCCTACTCCTCTCCTCCCCCTCCCCCCTCCTCCTCCTCCTCCGCCTCCTCCTCCTCCTCCTTCTCCTCCTCATCCTCCGCCTCCGCCTCCGCCTCCTCCGCCTCCGCCTCCGCCTCCTCCTCCTTCGCCTCCTCCTCCTCCTCCTCCTCCACCTCCTCCTCCTCCGTACATCCCTTCTCATTCCCCCCATCCCTTCCCCCTGCTTCATTGCACGTTGTCAGGTCAGCTTCGCATGTGCCTGCTGCCTTTCCTTGCTTCCAGTGGCGCGCGCCGTTCCATCCAACCCCCATGTGCTTTCTTTGGGCCGCCGCAGGCTCACGCCCTCGTGCCTCCCTTCGCTTCGAGGTGCTGACGTGTAGGGGGGACAAGCCTCCAGCCTCTTTCGCCTCGTTTGGCTCTCGGGAAAGGGATCCCCCGTTTCCTCATCGACAAACTGACCGCTGTATGGGACGCACAGAGACATACCAATACTATATGTCCTCCTTGGAGACGCGCGTCCAACCCGAACATAACTATAATATACCCATCTTGCAGTATATCTTTTCCCGAGCGATGTGACCAGAAAGCGCCCGCCACGACGCATGCACTGTAAGATTTCTCGGTGCGCGCGTCGCCCCTGGGGGGGCGACGCACATGTAGTACGAGTATGTTCGAGTGACGCCGAAAAATGACCGCTGCAATGAAACTTCGCCCCGCTGCGGGGAAAGAGCCCGCTGCTCTTCCCCTCGAAGCCGGCCCGCTTCTTCCCCGCCTCTTTCTTCTTGCCTCCGCGCCGCCGGGGGTGGGGGGAGGGCGAGGCACCTCCCTCCTCCTCCTCCTCCTCATCCTGATCCTCCTCATCCTCCTCCTCCTCCTCCTCCTCCTCCTCCTCCTCCTCCTCCTCCCTCGTCATCCCTCGTCATCCCTCCTCCTCCTCCTCCTCCTCCTCCTCCTCCCCTCCTCCTCCTCTCCGCCCTCCTCCGCCCTCTACCGCCCTCCTCCTCCTCCTCACCCGCCTGCTCCTCCTCCTCCTCCTCCGCCGCCTCCTCCTCCCCCTCCTCCTCCGTCCTCCTGCCTGTTCCCCGCCATCCCTCCATGGCACCAGTAGCCATCGTTGGACATGGGCAGCAAGGCAGAAGTCCAACCCCAGTACACGTTCGGAGGCTCTTGGAGCTATGGCGACAGCTATGTCCAGCCAGACGCTCGGCCTCTACCACAGCCTGTACCTCCAGCGACAGTAGAGAAGCCCAAGGAGCAGCAAAAGCAGGTCAACCTCACAGAAACCACAAAAGGATCATCCCGATGAGGACACGCAGGAAGTCTGCCCAGACCCAAAAAAAGCGGCCTACCGATTTCAGCACAGCATTCAGCAGTTCCAAACTGAGGCGCTCAGACAGCAACTGCGTTAGGCAAATAATCATATGGGAAAGTACGAAGACGATCAGGCGAAATCTCCTGGCAATGATAGGGGCCTCGGGCCTCAAGGGCAATCCTCGACAAGAACAAGCGCAGGAAATGCTGGCGGAGTTCATTTGAGTTTACCTCTTCATCTAAGGCAGTCTGCCGCTGAATGAATGAAGCTATTCCCAGGCACGGTAAAGTCACGCGTTGTGCCATTGTGCACATGTGTATACATCAACGCATGTAATAAAGCATGTGAAAATGTGAATAGTGTCATGCAGTTGACACTGCCAAGAAAGGGGAGTAAATGTTTGGAAGTGCGTCGTACCAAACTCCGCTGAACCCCATCGCACGCTGACGAAAGTGAAGACAGGTGCGCAGTTGGAAGCACCATGGGAAGGCGAGGGAGCGGGGTAAGCGAATAGGAAACAAAGAGAAGAGGAAGGAGCAGACGAGGAGATGATGTGAGCAACACTGAACCAAATACCTTGTAAGTCCGCGGGCGAATTGAGGCACGAGGGCGGAAAGGTAAAAGAGCAAGAGAGAACAGAAGAGAAGGAGACTTAACTCAACACATGAGGGTTGGGAAAAAGAATATGTAAAGAGTGTATTGTCATCGCCCGGAACAAACAACAGCCGAAAAGAGGATCCAAGAACAAAGAAAACCTCCGTGCGCCTGGACCAACAATGTCCAAACCAAACTGCAACTCCGAACCGAGAACCGGACACCACCCTGAGCACCCCCAGCCTGACAACTTACTGTACGGGGCTCCTTGGCCTGATGAAGCGCGCTGCATGTTACCCGAACGTTCGCAGCGGTAGTAGCACTGGCAAGGGAAATGGCCTTAGAAATCAGTGGCCGAAACAATCACAAGCCGTTGTGGCAACCGTACTCAGAATCGTCGTCCAAGCAGCGTTCGCAAGGGTGAAATGACTGACCATGGTGACCGCCACCGTGCCCTTGATGCACGAGTTGGAGTGTCCTCGGGTCCCTTGTTGGATTCCCTGGAGCCTCAGCCCTCACTGCTGAGGACGCTCGCAGGGGCCCGGAGGAGGAGGAGGAGGAGGAGGAGGGGGAGGGGGAGGGGGGAGGGGAGGGGGGGGGAGGGGGGAGGGGGGGGGGGAGGAGGAGGAGGAGGAGGAGGAGGAGGAGGAGGAGGAGGAGGAGGAGGAGGAGGAGGAGGAGGAGGAGGAGGAGGAGGAGGAGGAGGAGGAGGAGGACGAGGAGCAGGGGCCCGGACCCAGAATTGCAAAAAATCTCCTGGGGGCGCGCTGCGTGACCCCTGGGGCTCCCGGCGTCGCGTCGCCCAAGAGGGCCCCGAGAGGGCCAAAAGGGCCCCGAGACCTGGCCATCGCTCGGACGTCCATTTCCCGTGTTTTTTCGGTTTCGTGCGTGTTTTTTTGCGCGCGATGGTCCAGGATGGTCCTCGATGGTTCTCGCCGAGAAAAAAAAAATACACACGTCCGAGCGATGCCAAGAGACCGGCAAAAGGGGCCATGAGACCCCCAAGACAATACGAGGGCCCTGCTGGGAAGCGGCCAAGAGGGGGGTGTCCAAGAGGGGGGGGGTGCAGATCATGACCGGCGGCATGCGCGGCCCAGCGGGGGGGCCAGGGACGTAATGAGATAAGAAAATGCGCCATGAAATCAGGGGAAAAATCATGGCCCCCGCCATGATATCCCCCCCCCCTAGTCATCAACCCCCTCTTTGCCGCCCCCGACCTGAATCGCAAACCAGTCGGTCCGAGACGACCAAGATGAAGATGGCCCCCAGTCGGCCGAACAAGCGCCCAAGACGTCTCAAGAGGCCTCCGAGAGCCTTCCCAAAAAGGCCCCGAAGGGATCAGATCATTGATGCTCGGTAGTATAACCAGCCACGAACGTATCCCTATCCATAAGATGGGCGAGCAAAAAGCGAGGACAATCTTAGGGATAGGCCCTCATAAACTGAGGGAATCCTTAAGATTGGCATCGAGGTGAGGTGATGTCAAACATAGGGATAGGGATTTGTTTAAAACTGGTAATAGTAGGTGTTTCAACGTGTTTGGCTTTCTCGCCCTTTCGGCTGCCCGACGCTCTCGGACGCCTTAAGAGGCCCCCAAGGTCACCCCAAGACGGCCCGAGTGACTTCCACGAAGGCCCCAAAACGGCCCCAGAAGGCCCCAAGACGGCCCAAGAGACCTCAAAGACGGCCCGAAAGGCCCCCAAGACGATTTCAAGAGGCGGCCAAGACGGGGAACCCGAACCGACATTTTGAGCTCTCAGCCCCGAAAGGCTCTCAGGAGGCCCCAAGAGGCCCCCGAGAGGCCCTCAAGAGGCCCCAGGCGGCCCCCAAGATGCCCCCAGGAGGACCCCAAGAGGCCCCAAAAAAACCCCTGAGAGGTCCCCACCGGGCTTCAAAACTGTTCCCGAGAGGCCTCATTATCCTGGCGAAAGACCCAACCATAAGCAATTGTTGGTAACGCGTTGTGGGTGCCGCTTTCGGTGGGGCTCCATATGGGGCCACGAAGCGCTGCCTTGGATAGGGGGAACCGCATGCGGACTGCGCCACCGGGGCGGGCCTTCGGTGGAGCTCCCTATGGGGCTACGAAACGCTGCCCTGGGTGGGGGAACCGCATGCGAACTGCGCCACTGGGGCCTTCGGTGGAGCTCCCTATGGTGCCACGAAACGCTGCCCTGGGCGGGGGAAGCGCATGCGAACTGCGCCACGGGGGCTTTCGGTGGAGCTCCCCATGGGGCCACGAAGCGCTGCCCTGGGTGGGGGAACCGCATGCGAGGGCAGCCACTGGGGCCTCCGGTGGAGCTCCCTATGGGGCCACGAAACGCTGCCCTGGGTGGGGGAACCGCATGCGAGAGCAGCCACTGGGGCCTTCGGTGGAGCTCCCTATGGGGCCACGAAACGCTGCCCTGGGTGGGGGAACCGCATGCGAACACCCCCACTGGGGCCTTCGGTGGAGCTCCCTATGGGGCCACGAAACGCTGCCCTGGGTGGGGGAACCGCATGCGAACACCCCCACTGGGGCCTTCGGTGGAGCTCCCTATGGGGCCACGAAACGCTGCCCTGGGTGGGGGAACCGCATGCGAACACCCCCACTGGGGCCTTCGGTGGAGCTCCCTATGGGGCCACGAAACGCTGCCCTGGGTGGGGGAACCGCATGCGAACACCCCCACTGGGGCCTTCGGTGGAGCTCCCTATGGGGCCACGAAACGCTGCCCTGGGTGGGGGAACCGCATGCGAACACCCCCACTGGGGCCTTCGGTGGAGCTCCCTATGGGGCCACGAAACGCTGCCCTGGGTGGGGGAACCGCATGCGAACACCCCCACTGGGGCCTTCGGTGGAGCTCCCTATGGGGCCACGAAACGCTGCCCTGGGTGGGGGAACCGCATGTGGACACCCCCACTGGGGCCTTCGGTGGAGCTCCCTATGGGGCCACGAAACGCTGCCCTGGGTGGGGGAACCGCATGTGGACACCCCCACTGGGGCCTTCGGTGGAGCTCCCTATGGGGCCACGAAACGCTGCCCTGGGTGGGGGAACCGCATGTGGACACCCCCACTGGGGCCTTCGGTGGAGCTCCCTATGGGGCTACGAAACGCCGCCCTGGGTGGGGGAACCGCATGTGGACACCCCCACTGGGGCCTTCGGTGGAGCTCCCTATGGGGCCACGAAACGCTGCCCTGGGTGGGGGAACCGCATGTGGACACCCCCACTGGGGCCTTCGGTGGAGCTCCCTATGGGGCCACGAAACGCTGCCCTGGGTGGGGGAACCGCATGCGAACACCCCCACTGGGGCCTTCGGTGGAGCTCCCTATGGGGCTACGAAACGCTGCCCTGGGTGGGGGAACCGCATGCGAACACCCCCACTGGGGCCTTCGGTGGAGCTCCCTATGGGGCCACGAAACGCTGCCCTGGGTGGGGGAACCGCATGCGAACACCCCCACTGGGGCCTTCGGTGGAGCTCCCTACCGCATGTGACACCCCCACTGGGGCCTTCGGTGGAGCTCCCTATGGGGCCACGAAACGCTGCCCTGGGTGGGGGAACCGCATGTGGACACCCCCACTGGGGCCTTCGGTGGAGCTCCCTATGGGGCCACGAAACGCTGCCCTGGGTGGGGGAACCGCATGTGGACACCCCCACTGGGGCCTTCGGTGGAGCTCCCTATGGGGCCACGAAACGCTGCCCTGGGTGGGGGAACCGCATGTGGACACCCCCACTGGGGCCTTCGGTGGAGCTCCCTATGGGGCCACGAAACGCTGCCCTGGGTGGGGGAACCGCATGTGGACACCCCCACTGGGGCCTTCGGTGGAGCTCCCCATGGGGCCACAAAGCGCTGCCCTGAGTGGGGGAACCGCATGTGGACACCCCCACTGGGGCCTTCGGTGGAGCTCCCTATGGGGCCACGAAACGCGTGAGAGGTGTGCCGAGAGCAGAGGCAAGGAGGGGGAGGAGGGGGAGGAGGAGGAGAGGAGGAGAGGACGCGGGCACCGTCTCTTCAAAACGAGGACCCAACACCACAGGATGGTTGGGAAAAACTGTCCCCAAGAGGCCCCCGAATACGCTCCGAAGAGAGCCCAAGAACAGTCCATAGGGACGCCGACCCACAATCTGGGCACGGTGGCGGGATGGATCGAAGTCCATTAGATCAGTTGGCCACGCTCAGCTCCGCCGTCCTCAAATGGCCCAGGGACCCACACAAAAAGAAGTAGACACAAATCCCAGGATTCACCACATTGTTCAATCTTTTCTGGAGTCTTGTCTTCCCCTCCACTTCCCGTATGTTTCCATATGTTCCTGGGAATCGACGTTTACTTGTAGCTGTGTCTGCTGCTTCCCTCCCCACGTCCATGCTTCCCA